TATATATATTTATATATATTTACTAGCTGACCCAGCGAACGTTGTTTCCCCTTGCAATTAATTTTCCTGGCGTTCGTTGCGTTGCTCTTGACTTTCATTAGCACGTGTGATTGTATCCTGGTTTCTTACATTTTCATTGTTTTCTGCCGATCTATTTAACCGACGGTTCTAGAGTAATTGTGAATTCCGACTCCGTCGACCAATATTTCCTCCTCGTCCACGAAGACGTGGCATTATTTTTTGTACGTTATTTATATCTTTATATATATAATTCTTTTTTTTGTGTGTGTTCAAGTGAATTCAACGATAATTTAGATTCACAATTTGGTCCACTGGATAACGGTTTTTTAATTATTATACAGTTTTTTGGTATCCATATACATTTATATTAGACATTTAATGCAACGGCAGTTTTACGATTCATTTTAAAGATTTTAAACTTTTTAAACAAATCAAAGTAAGCATGAATAAATTTTAAATTTCTAATATAAATGTGTATGGATACCAAAAAATAAAAAATTAATTAAAAAGACATTATCCAGTGGGCCAAATTGTGAATCTAAACCTTCCTTGAATCCACTTGAACACCCACAAAAAATTTCTTCAAAATCGGTTCAGCCGTTTAGGAGGAGTTCACTGTCAACACACGTACAGAAGAATTATATATATAAGATATATTTAATATATTAATAATATATTTTTTGATTAATAAATATTTTAAAAAGCATAAAATATTGAATTTTAATATTGTTTACTTTATACAACTTACAATGATAGTTATTTAATCATAAAAGTAACTAAATACGATATTTGCGAACAAAACACATATAAAAATGTTTGAACTTGCCTGGTACTTAATGGGTTAAGATGTATTATTAATAAATCAAAATAAGATATATATCGCAATAATAATATTCCATTATGCTTCCCAAAGTCATAGTTTATAAGCCAATATAACTTATGTATATCTACATAACACAATAATAATTTTCCATAATATTATACGTCGTGAGTCATTACTAATAAGCGAATATAAGAAATATATATATGCAAAACCAATAATAATCCTCCATAGTGCTATACGTCGCAATATATCGGAATATTTAACGGGATATAATATTTTTGGTATATTAACACTTATTTAATAAGTTTTTATAATTCTTAATGAATGCATTTCTATGCTTAACTTTTTGTTTGTAATATTAATGAATTATAATTTTAAGTCAAATCGTGATTTTTAGTTTAAAATACTCGTTTTAATAATAAATAACACGTAACAAAATTTGATATTATCGTACTTAGTACTGATTA